GCGCTTCCCCGGCTCCGCCCCCGCCCGGCCCCGCCGCGCGGTGCCTCGCCCGCCCGTAGGTGTGGCGTGGGACGCGGCAAGTGGACTGCAAGTGCGTTGGGCAGAGCACAAATTACCCTCCGCTCTTCGTCCCCCACCCCCTCCTAAGAATTTGGAGAAGCAACTCCTAGATTGAATTAGTGTGACTAACGCTTTCCGTCCCGTTGCAGCCGACCGACCAATCGCTCGGCCGAGCGCATCCTTCGCTGCACCAGCCCGGCCTGGGCCATTATATGCTAATCCTAACCTTCAGCCGAATCAGCTGCGTGTGCGGAAACATCTGCCACAACGGTTCTTTTTAAAGGGAACTCGTTTCTCGAACGATAAGATAGAAGCAATAAGTAATAGTCACGTGTACTTTTCGAGGTTTCCTTTGCAGTCCTCTCAAACATATCTGTAAAAGTGGGTAGTTAATAAAGTAGTAAGTTTACTTTTAATTGCACTTAACATTTTTGGGTTAAAGTGTCAAATTAAGGAAAAGTTTCTAATAATGTTTTAACACTGTAACCTGGTTGGTGTCTTTTGATGCCAAAATATTGGCGTCCTCTGATGTATGCAAAATTATGTTGGCGTTCAAATACGCCGAATGCCAAAAAGACGGCAGATTTTTATGTTCAAACACCTACGCTGATCACGCCAACGATCTCCTCACTGCCACGCTGTGCGCCTCGGCCCGCCGTGCAGCTGAACAAGGGGGATGTCCGGCGCACGACGCCCACCTGCTCGCGGGTCCAGTGGGCCTCCTCGGGCGCGCAGGCGCATGGCGGCCGCTGGCCGACAGCGGAGGACGTCTTGTCCGCCGGAGAGGCGGGTAGAGCCCGCGGGCCACCGTGCAGGAGTCGTCCTCCTCCCAGCCCCGCACCACCTGCCTGTCGCAAGCTCGACCCCGAGCACGAGCGTGGCCAGGGTGAGGCCGATGAAGAGCACGTAGAACGCCGGAGCCACGTGCTTCAGAGTGAGAGCCCTCTCTTGCTGCAGGGACAACAAGTACCTCCCGAGCGCCACCTTGTTACCTTCGTCCAGCTTGTTCTCCCAGTGGTCTAGGATTCCCGCCTCATCCAAGCGCTCGTGCGTGGCGCGGGACAGCTCCCCCAGCGGCGACCCAGGGCTCCACACGGCGAAAACCCTTCTGAATTCGGCGACAAGGCCGAAGGCGTGCACCTTCTTCTGTGGGATGGTCAGCGGCTGTAAGAGACGCCGGAGAGTACGGTCCTGTATCGCGATCATCGCGCAGTTCCGGTACTGCGCTACGTGTTGGAGGGCCTTGCCAACGTTTGTCGCTGCGAAAATTTTGTGCAAGTCAAAGTCAGATAACAACTCTGTCTCCAAAAGATTAACTGCACTCAACGCCACGTAGATGGGAAGGCCAGTCTTGCTAAGCTCACGCAGGCTGTTTATCTCGCCTGGAGCGCGGGTCGTGGAGAGCTCACCAAGCAGCAGCCCCTGGTAGGCGGCCACCAGCACGACGCACACGAGCAGCCACACTCCAAGGAGCGGCCGTAGCGCGCGGCCCGCGGGCGGGGGCGTCCCCGGGGCCTGGCCGAGCAGGGGGGCCAGGGCCAGCAGCAGAGCCGCGCCGCGGTCCCGCCGGATGATGCAGGCTAAGGCGGCCGCGGTGCTCAGCGCGGCCAGCGCCGTGCCCATCCACACCGCCGGCGAGAACTCTACCCGGATTGCGTCCAGGGGGTTGGCTACGGGGCCGAAGCCAGCGGGAACAAAAGCAGAGATTTCAAACATGCCTTTTTCGGCTAATGCGCTGATCTTTTTCGGGTCGATACTTTTTGGGTCGCCCATATCTATGAACGCTGCGAACAGCTTGCAGTGATCTATCCTCTGCCATACTTCAGTAATAGTATCCGTCAAATAATTATCAGGTGAATAGGAAGTAGTAAGTAAGTTTACTTTCCAGGGAAGATTCACAATTTTCGATCTTATAGTTTTGAAGTATTCGGGCAGACGTTTCTCTTTTGCAGTTCTTATCACATAGATGGTCAGCGACTCTTCCGCGACCGGCGGGCGCCATCTGCTGCAGAAACGGTCGAATACCCTGAACACGACGTCTGCTCCTTGCCAGCTCTGATCTGCCGACGACCATCGGTCCACCTCTACAAGTTTCAGCGATCCGTTAACACAATATTTGGGTACCACGGTGTATAGGGTAGTGCTGCCGTTGGGTGAGGTGACCGCTAGCCCGGTGGGCTTTATGCACAACAAGTAGGAGAGAACCTTAGGAAGGGCCAACTGCTTATCTGACCTCAATGTCACCCAGAACAGAAAGCGGCAACCACCCACGAGGGACGCCCTCCTTCCCATCCAAGTATATAGGTCTGTTGGTTTGTCTGTCACGACGAGCGCCGTGCAGTTGTTATTGACACCAAAGTTTTTCAGGTATTGGTCACTCTGCGCCCTCTCGTCGGGGATCAGCACCCAAGAGGTCTCAGTGGATAGACCCCAGAGAAAAGCGCGAGTCCAGTTCACCTGGCCGACGACGAGCAGGGTGCTCTTGTGCGTGGCGAGGAAAGGTGACAGCAGGGCCAGGGCGCTCGTGGCCTCGGGGGGCGCCGTCATGTCCACGTCGGGCAGGGTGGAGTGTGCCCCGGGCGCGGCGGTGCAGAGCAGCACCAGGACGACTGCGATGTCCATCTCGTCTGCTAGGCGAGGCGACAGTATTCACATGAGACCTCCGCGTCGAGCCCCCGTGCCCAAGCGATCAATCAGAAACGAATGCCGTCCAGACTCGTCGCGCCCTCGACGTCTTTCAACGGCTTTATCAGACCTTTGCCGAATTCGCGCATTTCAAAGAACCCGTACTGAAAGGTGGCGCTTAAGGTGTCTAATCAGAAGCAAGCCAACCCAAAGCGTGAGCAAATCGCCTTTAGCCATTGCTGCGACCTTTCCTTGTCACATGAAATGGCTATAGAATGGTTACGTTAGGGCCAGGACATTCTTGCCCATTAAATGTGCGCCGCGCCGCCACAAGACACGCTCCGTGTCGCTCCGTCTCCAACTGACAAGAAAGGGAGCAGAAGAACGCATACGCTCTTGCATACGCTCTCGCATACGCTCTCTCTCGCATAGGCTCTCGCATACGCTCTCGCATATCAGAGCTTAAGTAAATATAGCACAAACATGCCAATATTTGGCGTCCTGAGAAAAACGCAAATTCGACGTTCTGTAGGGGACGCCAATAATTTGGAGTTAAAGGCCCAGTTTACATTGATCGGAAAGCAGTTTGAAATCGGCTGAAAAACTAGTCACCCCGAAATAGTTTCCCTTCCATAGACAAACTGTACCGCATGCTGCACGGGTTACCTTTCCTCCACCAAAATAAAATGCTGTATCACGCAAAAAAATGATTTGCTGGCTTAGCTAAAGTTTAGCTCTCAGAGCTAATTTGTTAGCTGGATTCGTGATAGCTAATATTCTTAGCTTCTACAGCTAATACTCTTCGCTCTATGGGACACGGTCATTGCTATCGGAGGAAGTCGAACTTTTCCTGTGCCTGCATTGGTATATTTGCTCTGAGAGCTAATAGAGATTTTGCAGCACTCGCATGTATAATTTGTTGCTGTGGCCAGGGCGTTATGTCGTTTCGGGCTAATAGCACGCTCTCCCCTGAGAGATAAAATGGTTACTTGTAGGAGCAAAACTTGATTTACAGTCACGACTAATTCTTGGATTAGCTGGAGCGGCACTAATTTTAGCGTCCAGAAGTGACTCTGTTATGTGTGGAGAAGAAGAGGCGGTGTCTGGATCGTCCCGCTTCTCAATAGAAGGTGTGCACGATCCAAACTGACCGCCGACAAGGCGCGTGGTGGCCGAGCGGCCTGAGGCGTCGCTCAAGACGCGCCGGCTGGGTGGCTGGTCCGGGTTCGAGTCCCGCCCGCTTCTGTCGGCTTTCTCGTTCGTCGTCACTAAGGGGGCCATGGGGGACACTTCGCGCAAGACACAAGACAAAAAATGTCGTCGCGCTTTCGTCATGCCTCTGTTACACGGAAAAAAAAGATTCGCTGAGCCAGCTAATATATTGACTGGTATCTGGACAGACAAGCACATA